TCCATTCACAGGTTAAAGAAAAGTCACAGGATAATGGAAAGAAGGAAACATATTTTCACAGAGAATAGAGGAATGTTATAAGGGGAGATGGGGGCCATCACATGGACTTTGGCTTTTGAAACTGATACTATGTAACAAAATAATCAATGAGGAGAGCATGGGGGTCCTAAATTAATGAAAGGTCCAATTAGAAAGGGTCAGGTTCAAACATATGTAAACCAAGAGAAAGGGACACGAGGCAGGATTTTTAAAATTTTTTCCCATTAGAGAGAGACCAGGCCTTTCCCATTTGGGGACTTCTCCTCAGGGGATCCCCTTTGGGGTAACCCCTGCAAAGATGGAGTTTGTATATGCTTCCAATAAACTTCTGCATTTTTATTAAAGAAATCTGTTAGTCTACAAATTTATTCTTCATCTTCGTTGGACAAGAACCCACAAGAAGAAGTCTGTACCACGAACCCATGTTTCACTACCGTGGCTTTTCTTAGTTACATCTGGTGCATATGATTTAAGAGTTCCTGTCTCTGTTTGCATGTATGTAGTTTTAGTATTTTGTGTTAAGAATATACAAGAAAAAAATGTCCATAAAGATCATCTAGCTCTGAAATTGGGTAATACAGTAAGCACTGAGATCTGGTTTTCTTCCTTTTCAATCAGAAGTATGTGCCTTTTATGTGCTTTTGATGGGTTTCAGTTTAAAATGGTTATTGTATGTAGTTTTTTTCTGGAGAAAGAGAAAATAGTCCCAGTGTAGCTCATTGAATCACAGCTTGATCCCTCCCCTCCCTTGAAAAATGCTTCTTTCTTTGGGTGTCTTTAGGGAATGTACATAAGGAAGGAGCAGGAAAGACCTTGAAGATAGGGCTGGTGCCCTTTCCTGCTTCCCAATGTTTGTCTTTCTCATTCTATTCTAACCAATGAAAAGGCTTCCCCAAGTTTTACAATGCATAGCTACAAAGTCTCTTCAAAATGCATACTTTAAATTAGGTCAGTTGGTATTCAGTAAATAAAAAAAAAAGAATACTGTTTTATGTGTTTTCAAAAGAAAGACTGTAGTGAAAGGAATTGGTTACTTGGGTGATGGAGGAGCAGAGAAGGCAACAGAGGGTGGTCAGTCAGTCCAGAGATAAGCAATAGTAGGAAGATGTACTCATCTGGGGACTGAAGGGACAGGGACATTGAGGCTTCCCCTTTCCTCATGCCTTACAAACTCTCATCAATGCCTCTCTGGCTGATCTGCTGAATGACCGGATTCAGGAGGTTATGAAATTAAGCTGTTGTGATCAGCTCCCACCCTTTATCTGAGAGAAAGGAGAACAGGATAGGGACAAGGAATAAATAAGAGGGAACACATTGAAAATAAATTTTTTATTCATCCCATATAGATACTGGAAATTAAGCTTATGTAAATGAATAGTTTCTCAATGATTGATTAGCTCATGAACTCAGTCCATGGGTTAGTAAACTGCAATGTTTACTATTACATGTCCTTTTGGGGGAGGGTGTTAAAATCTTTTGATCTATGGAGAATACATTATACTTTACATAGAAAAAGACATTTTTACACTTTATTCACAGGCACTTCTAGAGACTCTGATGTTTTACCACCATTGTCTATCAAAAAGATTGTGATGGTCTGATCTCAGGACTTTTATGGGGTTTTTTTTGGGGGGGGAGAATGAAAGTTGATTCTATTTAAAAAGAGAAAAGGATGAAAAAGAGGGCAGTATGTCACAAACAACTGTTTTATAGAATGTT